TGGTCACATTCCCAGCTAAGGCCAACCAACTGGACGTGCTGCCTTCTTGTTTCAGTGCTCATATGGTGAATAAGTGTCCTTTTGTGGTCTATTTAGTGCCATGTTTTTTGCACTTGTGTGCTTTTTGTTGGTGATTTCGCTGTTTAAAATAGCCCTCAAGTGTAGCATAATGCCTTCCCTTTGACAGTCTCACCCCCTGAACTCAGATTCTCTCTGTGTGTGTGATGGGGGTGGGGGGTGGGGACTGAAGTAGTTTTATTTGTAAATAAATTTTTAATTTTAAAAACATTTTTTAGGTTTTCAGAAAAAGTGCAAAATAGGACAGAAAGTTCCCATATTACCCTATACCCTGTTTTCCTATTAACATTTTACCTTACATTTGTTACAATTAATGGCTCAATATTGACACATTATTATTAACTAAGGTCCACACTTCATTCAGATTGCCTTAGTTTTTGTATAATATCTTTTTCTGTTTCAGGATCCAACTCAGCATTCCATATCATGTTTAGTTGTCATGTCTCCTTAGGTTTCTCTTGGCTGTGACAATTTCTCAGACTTTCCTTGTTTTTGATGACCTTGGTAAGTATTAAGGAGTATTGGTCTGGTATTTTGTAGAATGTCTCTCAGTTGCGATTTGCCTGATGTTTTGCTCATGATTACACTGGGGCAATGCATTTGGGGGACGAAGAACAGAGATAAAGTGCTATTCTCATCATATCATATGCAGGGCACACACTATCAACATGACGTATTACTGTTGATGTTAAAAGCTTGATCACCTGGCTGAGGGTTCTAGGTACTGTCGCCATAGCATCTTTGCCATAGACATTTTAGCTGTGTAACTAATGGGTCATGAGGCAATTTTGCTGTAAAAAGTATAAATGGTTGGCAGCTTGGTTTTTTGTTTGTTTGGTTTCCATTCTCCATGGATGAATCCACCGCCTTCGGTATTTAACGTATTTAAGTTAGTTGTCAATTTGGCTTCATTTCTCTGTTGACAGACTTCTCACAGTTACTCCCATTTTTATATTACATGTAAATCTTACCTAGTCCTCATAATGGTCTACACTGTGACAAGTAGACATGGTGATGGTGATGGTCTTAAAATAGTTAGCAATTCTTCCAGATAATGATGATTTGCTCCAAGACTTGACTTGATTTCTCATTTTGAAATGCACTACATTGGGAGGAGAAAAAGACATCAAGGGTCCTCTTTGAGGGCAGTGTTGAACCCATATTTCCCATAAAGACAAGTCCTTAGGTACATTCCACAAAATAAAATCAGTTATTTGTGCAGTATTGCCATGAATCTACACACATTTTACGTATATATTTTGTATTTTACAAAATTTTGTATTTTACAAATATTTTATATTTTACAATAAAGTCTTTTTAATTTTGTAATGTCCTTTTATTTTCCCTCTTTTATTTTCTGTTATTTCAATTTTTTTAAGGCAAACTTGCCTTATTGCCAATTAGTTACGCAGCAAAAATGTTTGTGGCAAAAATG